GTATAAGAGAAAGAAAGCAGACTCAAAAGGCCAAATACTGCTGTATACAGTTACATGAAATTCTGGAAAAGGTAAAATTATAAGGACAGAGACAGATTAGTGGATGCCAGGAGCCAGGCTTACAGGAAGATATTGACTACAAGGGCACAGGAGAATTTTTGTGGACAATGGAACTGTTCTGTATCTTGATTGTGGTGGTAGTTATGGGACAGTAATGTTTGTCAATAACGACAGAACTATATGCTAGTTATGGGTTGAACTGTGTCTCCCAAGAGTTCATATATTTAAGTTCTAACCCTTAGTACCTTAGCATCTGACCTTACTTGGAGATAGGGCCTTTACAGATATAATCAAGTTAAAATGAGTTTATTAAGGAGGGCCCTAATCCAACATGACTAGTGTCCTTATTAAAAGGGGAAATTTGGAGAAAGAGAGAGACATACACAGGATGATGTAAGAAGATTGGAGTGATGTTTCTACAAGCTAAGGAACAAGAAAGATTCCCAGAAGCTAGACGGGACAGATTTCCTCTAAGAGCTCTCAGAAGGACCCAATAATGCCAACACCTTGACCTTGGAATTTTAGCCTCTAAAATTGTGACATAATACATTTCTGTTCTTTATGCCACTCAGTTTGTGGTACCTTGTTATAGCAGCCCTAGAAAACTAACACTAAAAATGGTGAATTTCACAATATGTAAATTATATCTTCATTAAAAATGGAGTGAAGGAGTATGCTAGATCTTGTTCAATATTATTGATCAGAATAAACTGTAAAAGTGATCAAATCTATCTAATTCTATATATAACTGTGGTTGCAGAGCTGCTCTTACAATTCTTAAACAATAAAATAAAATATTTTTGGCAAAACAAACACTGAGAATAAAATTCAACTTAAGAAAAAACTTCGTAGGATATAGCTAATACAGTTCTTGGAAAGAAACTTTAAGTCATAAATGGTTATATTAAAAAGAAAGTTGACAATTTCAGCTTCAGTTACAACATGTAAAGAGCATGTAAGTTGCCACTCCTATCCTTACAACAAGAATAAAGCTGAATAAACTGAAAAAGAACAACTTTTCTTGGAGCCATCAGAGAAATGAGGTAGGAGGGCAAACCACCACCCTTAAATCTACAGGGATAGGAAAATCCAAATAGGGGCAGCCATGATCCACTTACTGGAAGCAGAAGCTCTAGAGACATAAACTGGAAGGAACACTTATCAGCACCACGCCTTAACCAACTGAGCTAACCAGCCGGTTGGAAGGAACACTTAAATGGTAGTTTCATGAACTACTGGAGGTTGAGTATGGACTAGCATGAGACTGAGGAATTCCTGGGGGCCTCAGTCTTAGTGGTGCTACCACTCTTTTGACAGTTTTATCTCTAGAAACTCCATCAGGTTCTTTCTCTGAAGAATCAAGAAAGATTTCCTTGTAGCTCAGGCAGAGGGAGGGGGAACACAAACATTATGAAAAATCCCAGAGCATTCTCCATAATAAAGGCAAACTCACTTTATCAGAGCCTTATCCCACCTGGGAGAAAGATATTTCACAGATTCCAGACCTTTCCAGACTTCCTATCTAACCTAAGCTCATTGTGGGGTGGGGAGATGTGAGAAGCTAAGAAACACTTTGAAGGTGACAGCCCAGGGACATGGGCCCACTAAAAGACAGGTTTAATCATTAGAAAATAGGCAAGGTTCCCCCTCCCTTAATACTTTACCACCACACTAACCAACTGTAGTTTAATAACATTGGATTAAAACCGAAAGAGATTCAGGATACAGATTCTTTCGAAGGAGGAGTTCTCAAGGAAACCTAAAGACAACAGCAAAGACAAAACAAGGGAACTAGAGGAATTTGAAGCCTCTGGCATTTACAGCTACAGCAAACATTAAGCACAGTCCAACTGATCATCAATTAATACAAAAATTCACACTATATCATAAATTACATAAAGCACTGTATTTAAAGGTGGTAAAAAGGTCCTAATATATATTGCTAATTAGCAAATTACTATTTTCCCTTTTGCCTGATAATAATCCTCAGTTTAGAAGTTCACCAGAAAACTATACCCTCACACTTTTTTTGTATATTCCTACAACATACTTTTAGTGATGCAATTATCTGCATATCAGCTTGTTTAATAAATTATTTTATGTGCTGTTAAAAAAAGGGGGGGGGAAAACACCACAAACATGACAGACACAAAACTTGGCCTCGTGCTTGCAGGACTGTGCCGAGGTACTCCATATAAAGCACTGGTAGATGGTTAATATTACCTGATACGGCACACCACGCTTTCAGCAAAAAATTACAAGTCATTGTAATCCTACAGGACAAGACAAAATACAGTCTGAAGAGACAAAACAGTGCTCCTGTCCCTTCAAGGCTCACTTAAAAGTCACCCTGTGGGTACCGCTCCTTTCTTCCTACAGTCTCACCATTCCTAAACCAGCACACTCCTTCAAGCCTTTCTCCACAGTCCCCTCCACCTCCCCTCCTATCTCCTTCTATCTCCAACTTACCAAAAGCTGCTCAAAAGGAGAAGCAGTCTGGCAGAGCAACCATCTCCTTGAAGGATTACTCAGCTGTGTCACCTCTGCCTTCCTAATCTATGTAATCCATTTCCCTCTGTCTTGGAGAGTCTCACCCACCAAGTTATCCCCAAATGCCTTCCTGGGTAGAAACAGAAAGATCACCTAGAAAAGGATTAAAGTTCATTTTTCATGAAGGATGCCCTCTTGAAGCCTCCTATAGAACAGAATGACTGTCACTGCCCATGGGCCGCAAGAAGTTACAAGAAAGCATGGAGAATGGAGGAAAGAAGAATGGGGGGAGTGAGGGCTGTAAAGATGACTAACAGGGATAGGAACTCGTATCTATTGACCACTTCTGGTACGTGCCACAGACTGAACTGCGTGCCTCCAAAATGTATATCTTGAAGTCCTAACCCCCAATGTGATGGTGCTTGGAGATGGCGCCTTTGGGAGATAATTAGGTTTAGATGAGGTCATGAGGGTTGAGGCCCTTATGGTGGGATCAGTGCCCTTATAAGAGATGCTCCATGCTAGAAGGTGCCTGTCTACAAGACAGGAAGAAAGCCTCACCAAAACCTAACCATGCTGGCACCCTGATCTCAGACTTTCAGCCTCTGGAACCATGAGAAAATAAATTTCTGTTGTTTAAGCCTCCCTGTGTATAGTATGTTCTTATGACAGCCCAAGCAGACAAAGACAACAGAGATTTTACATATTACATCATTCAGTTTCCCAATTGCAATATTTGTTTTGTAAGTGTCTAAACTAGGATTCAGCTGTCTAATAACTATAAAGCCACTGCTTTTACCCTGACAACATCTCCTCCTACAGAAAACAAGAAGCCTACATCTTGGCTCTGGTCCCAATCTGTCAGTAAATATTTCCCTTGGACAAGTCCCTAATCATCTTTAAGCCCAAATTTACTCTTCTGACATGAGAGACAGGATGCTCTCTAGAGTGCTTTTGCTGCATGGAGATTATTCAAAATGCATGAAAGGGGAAAATGCAGAGATTATCTGGAACACAAGGAGTTGTTGTTGTTGTTTTTATCTTCCTGATCCTAAAAAGATACCATTGTACCATCATATAAATGAAAAAGGAGAACAAAGTAAAAATAAACTCTCCGACTCCATATCTCACCAAATCATTTGGGGGAACGAAAGCTTCATATGCCATTAGTGGATGTACTGATGTGGTCAGTGGACTGGCCGCTAACTTCAACAGATGTTAGTTACTGGAGGAATAGCAAATATTCAAAAGCTCATATCAGGATTCTTGACTTTACAAAGATAAAAAAAATTCCAACCCTCCTCATTCTTCTGCAATTTTGAACTTGAAACTGAGCTAGAGGGCAGTGCCTTTGTATTACAAGCAAGCTCCAGCTGGCTCAAATATCAAAGATCCATTTAGTCTTATACCAAACAATTTAATTTCCTAATCTTTACTGGATTTTAACAACTATAAATGGCAAATACCACTTGTTTCAGAACTCTGCCTTCACCTAGCCTGAAGTGAAAAGGAATCTCTAACAACAATTTTTCCACATTTCTCAGTATGTTTCCTAGAGATGGTTTTAAGTCAAATGCAATTTGCGTTGTAAAACCCAGTTTAAGTGAAGGCCTTTCAGTATAAGAATATAGGCTTGTCTCCCAAACACAAAAACTCTATATTTCCAAATATTCAGATAAAGAAAATCTTCCACAAACATTCAGATTCCAGAATGCACCATGTGTAGAAGATACGGGTCAGCTAGGCTAAAGCTGAAGGGGATCTCTACCATGTATTTTTCCCACATCTCTCAGCATGTTTCCCAGAGCTGGTTTCAAATTAAATACTGCTTGTATTGTAAACCCCACCCGCCAAAAAGAACTCTGCCAATTACAAAGAAAAGACCAATTTTAACACAAAGTAATTTATAACACTTTCCACAAATAAACAAACCACAAAAGAGGTATTATACAATATTCAGTATCTCTGCTATACTGAGGAAACTTCAAATCTGTGTAAATGAGAGCCAAAAACGCTTCTCAATAAATCTCCTTTAAAAAAGAAAAGGATTCACAAAACACTGCAGAAAGTAAATAAGGTCACTAAAAGGGAATTTGATTATTATTTCCCATTAAAAGTAAGTGTAAGATAGTTACGGCAGAATACACACATCATCATAATCTGTTGAAAAACTTCAAAAATATTATTCCACACCATTAACATGATGCCAGAGATTTGCTTCAGAGGAATCTGGTAGAAAGGGAGCAGGGTGGGGGAAGTGCAGGAATCGAAGTAAGACAGTTCATGAACTGATACCTGTTGAAGCTGAGTAGGGGGGTTTTATGGGTTCATTTTCTAATTCTTCTAATTCCATGTATGACTGACATTTCTCCATAAGGAAACCTAAAAAGTTATTATACACTCATGATGAACAAATTTAATCCTCATATTCCAAAAATAAAGACTAGTACCTTCCAATCTTTGAATTTTTGCTTTCACAGAAATAACGGCTTCAAAGGGTGAAACTCTCAGCTCAAAACATGTGCCAGTCAATGTTTCAATGAAGAGCTCCATGGCATCATAGAAAGGAAGTTTGTAGTAAAATGGTCCCACGTTATCTTCATTGAAGAATGGAGGATCTTTTCTGTTATCCATTACTTTGACTTTTCTAATTCCTCTGGAATATGTTGTAGGCAACTGTATTCCAGTTCTAGCCAAATCAGCTTTGAACATTGGTAACATATATCGTTGTTCATGTTTTGAGCTTTGTACCTAAAAAACAAGAATAATTTTTTTTAAAAGCCTATCTGAAAGTCTCTTTTCCCCATAAAGATTTTCTGAACAACTCTGGCCCATATAAATCTTCCAAA